GCAGAACAGTACTTGGGTACATATCCTTAGAATGTCTTAATGTGACAAACATACGTCCTGAGTTTCTTAGTTTTTCATCTATATCACATTTTAACTTGATTGCACATGGAGGTGGTAAAATAATAAAGGCAGGGAAAGGAGGAAGTTGTGCATGTCTGTGCATGTGTGGTTTCCCGTGGTTTCCCATGGTTTCGAAGAAAAGCAGATTTATGACAATGAATATCAGTATCATATTCTCTGCACTCAAAAATAGTAGTCTACCCAACAGAAACTAAGAAAGTGGAGAGAATAAAATATTAAAAGATTTTTTCTTTTAGTTGGATGCTTTAGGGAAAAAACAGCAGCTTCTGGGTAATACAACAGATTTTGACATGAAATATGTTGATTTTAGACTAGGGACCCCCAAGATGGCTTTGCTAGTACTGTGCTTGGAGTGGTAAAGAGATCCACAAACACTAAGGCCCTTGCACAATATAGAGTAGAAGAGGCTAAGGTTTTAATTTTCTTTTTTAATGCTCTTCAGTCTTCCCTATGAGCATTTCTTCTTGTCTTCTCCAGATGGTCTGTGTCCATTAAATTAGCAGACAAAATTTCAAGGTGTAGATCTTTCCCAGAGGTATTTTCTTACTGGGAGTTGGGAGAAATTCTTGAAGATTAATAAAGTCTCCCTTAGTAAATATTAGGAGAATAGAGAACGAGAGAGAGTTCTGACCACCATTCTCCAACACCCCACTGTTTTCCAAACCAGGAGTTTCTTCTTTGGGATCTTGGACTGCAATGCTTCCTGACTGTTCCTCAGGCTCAGTGACTCCCTCTTAGGAGTGAATGAATAAACATACATTTGGCAAACTGTTTGAGAAAGGCTGCTGACCCTTGATCTAAGAAATCTTGAGTTGCAATGTCCATTTGCATGTGACTCACTATTTGAAGAGAATGAATCACTCACTTGATTGAATCACTTAGCTCCACGGTCTGAGGTGTGGTACTAAAGAGGGCATAGGCCAGCTTCACATACATTGTGTACCTGAGGACTGCAATTGATAAATCCTTCCATCAAAATAAAAACACACCTATTAAGTACCTAATTGTGCACAGGATTTGGAAACATTCCGAATATGTAGGCTAAATATGAAAATAAACCAGTGCTTGTTAAGGTTTCATGGAACAGGTGAGATGTCTATTATTCTAAAAAGGGAGGAGGCTTGCTATGTATTAACTGTCAGGTTACCAAAGCTCTGGGTAAATTTGGAATGAATGTTGAGTAGCTTCTCAGCAAGTAGCTGGTGTCTGGTTGAAAGCTGGCCAATCTGTTTACTTGGGCAGAAATGTGGTTATGTTAGGCTGTTTTTAGACATAAAAAGGTTTTTTAAAAGTTTCAACCCTCTAGAATCTGGCTCACCATATCCTGATACTGTATTCTTTTCTATAATCAGAGTCATGGATGAAGAAATCTATCTTCTAGCACTGAATGAGAATAGATTTGGGTGTGTGGTCAGACCTATGAGTATTATAGATAAAGACTAAATAAACTATTATTTTAAAAAATAATTTTATGCTGCAGTAGTTCTAAATCATTCATTTTAGCTTGATATAAAAGAGCAAAAGGGCAAAAAAAATTAACATTTATCATGAACCTGTGTTGTTAAGTGAGGCACTCACATATTCAGTCATATATATCATCATTAAAGTTTACAGGAAGCCTGTAATAGCTAATATTTCCATTTTGGTCAAGGGAGAAATTGAAGTTCAGAGACTGAGATGGCAGAGTTGGAATCCACACTCAGGTCTGCTAGCTTACTATCTTTCCTTAAAATCATTTAGGCACAAACTGAAAAACTTAAAATCAGGTAGGATTAAACAAAATCATTCTGCTTCAACTCTTTAATTTCTTTTGGTTTAGATATAATCTATATCTACTAGGGAAAAAAGTGAATAAAATCTATTGCAGGAAGATGCTTGTATTCTGCAAATCTGTTGATGAGGGGGGCAGTAGAAAGAGATGAGATTGGAAAAATGTACAGCAAGCAACATCTAAATTCTGGGTCATAATTTTTCTGAGTACTGTTGATTTTTGAAAGTTATTGTCACACGAGGGCATCAATGTCTTATAACCTGTAAAATGTAAATATGACTAGTTCTATCGAGGGACATTGTAAAGCTATTGAAGAATCTTATAAAATTCTTAGGAAAGCTGCCATAAAATACAAAGATTATTTATATTTTGGGCCCTCATCTGTGTACCTGAAGTACTTTGTTTTTACCTTAATTACTGCACTCATCATATTGCATCCTAATCTACTCTCTGGTATCTCTTCCAGAAGGTGGGTTCCTCCAAGACAGGGACTATGTCTCTTTCATTGTGACAGTGCCTGAAATATAATAAGTACTCAGTAAATGTTTACTGAGTAAACAATACAACAAAAGAATTCATGTTTCTGATTCCAGTTCCCTTATTTCCAAAACGAGAAGATAGTAATATTTTCCCAGATTGCTTATCAGGAGTGTTTTATGTTCATATACTGTTTATGCTGGAGATATGAGCCACAGACATAAAAGGTGTTATTATGATGATTACTAATTATTTTACATAAAGTTTTTATTCTAAAATCTTTTTAAAAAATCTAACCAATAAATTTCAGGAAAGAAATGTAGGGGATTTAGGGAATATGTAGTAGTAATCTCCATCCTTGGGCTCTAAGGGTTGAAGGAAAAACAGGATCCTATACCAGAAATGGGAACAATCTTTCACTAGGTGGCTCTCTTTCCCGTGAGTGGGCAAATGGTTGGTGCAGCAATGACAGGGGGCATTGTACAGCTGCAACCACGTGCGTCACACCGCCATCACAGTAGGCGCCTGCAGCGGGAGGGGCATAGTTCAGTTTCTATTTCGTTAATGATACTCTGTCCTTGGGACTTATTTCAAAGTAGCCTGCACTTTCATTTCCCTCAAATTTGTACTGTTATTCCAAATAGATACTGGTCCAGTCTTTTAATAGTTGCAACCTCAGGGAAGGATCATGAAAGCGCCTCTTCACCTAGCACGGAAGATAGCAGGAATCCAGGTACCCAAATGGAGCCAGACCAAAATAGCCCATTAAAATCCTGATTTTTAACTATCCAGGGAGAGCTGCATTCCTGGAAGGTTTTATACCATTACATATCCTAAAGTCCTTTGGGACAGCTGCTTAAACGACTCCACAATAGGAACCGAAAACATAATTTGCAAAATGTCAAATCATTCCTTTAAACCATTAGGACAACGATTTCTCCAGCTACTTCTCACACACTCCATATTATTATTGACCCAATTCTTTATTCCTGCTTTTTAGCCCCAAACCAAACACAAAATATACACATAATAGATATTCAAAAAGATTTGCTCTAAGTATTAAAATCCTTTTCCTAGACGCCTTTCAGTGGAACTTCGCGCCAGCATCTAGGTTTTTCGTGATACTATTTTACCCAACGCTTTCATCTCCGGCTCAAAAGATGCAGAGAGACACGTTCCAAAACACTGCAGACGCATCAGAGAAGGAGGAAGTTTGCAGAGAAGGCAGGACCTCGGAGGTCTGCTTGTGATCATCAAGCGGCACCCCCACGGGGGGGTGTCTCTGAGAGGGATGGCCATCGTCAGCGTCTCACGACGTCCTGGCTCTAAATGCTGGGAAACCACTTGTTAGCCCCCTAGGATGTGTTCCCACTCTCGCTCTGGCCTCCTTGGGGCAGGATGTGGCTCCGGAAGGCCACGCGGGGAACTCCGAGGAGGCTCGGTCGCCTAGGGTGTGTGTGGGGTGGGGTTTGGGGGGATTTCTGTAAGGGGTCGACCCGCCTGGAGAAGTCGGCTGTCCCTGTCGGCAGGCGAGGAATCGCGGCTGTCGTGTGCCGTTCTCCTCCCTCAGGGACCCCGTCCTGGCGGGATCCCGCCTCCCGGAGCCCGAGGCCGTTGTGGGGAAACCCCTCGCCCGCCTCGCCGCCCCGCGCCGCCGCCGCGCCCTCTCTGCTCCGGCCCGCCGCCTGCCAGCCTCTAGGCCCTCTCCACGCCCGGCCCCGGGAGGAAAGTATGGAGGTGGTTCCCGCCCGCAGGCCGGTGGAAAAGCCCACGGTGAATGCCTCGGGGTCTCCCCTATCGCTGCGGGAAGGGAAAAGGGAGGAGGAAATGAACCTTACCGCCCGGGAGCACGACCCGGATTCCCAACCTGGGGGAGGCCTTGGATGGAAGGGAAGCCAAGGGGGAACCTTGGGCACTTTCTCGACAATCCATTCGCCCAGGGAGGGTCACCCTGTCCGCACACATTGGTTACTATGACAATACAACTACAGCCTCCAGTTGCCATGGCAGCTGCTTATCCAATCCGATTGCTTTCCTTTCTCTTCCTCCCTGGGCTCCACCCCATACCCTCCAACAGTCTCCCAGCGTGCAGAGGGAGGGGACGCGGAAAAGAGGGGGGGTCCTCAGCGTCACTCTCTAGGGCGCGAGGGAAGACCAGAGTCGAGGGACTAGGGGCGGAACTGTAGGAGGAAGGGGCGGCGTTTCCAGTAGGGAAGAGTGGAGGAAAGGAAAAAGGAAGAGAGAAATCGGGTGGAGTGGAAAGACGGGGGAAGATTTTGAGTGTAACTCCCGGTCGAATTGGGCTCGATGTTCCCAGGGAGGCTGGGGTTGCCCCCTCGCGCGGGAGGAGAGGGGTGGATTGGCCGCCAGCCGTCAAGCGCCTCCAGCGAGCCGCTCAGCAGCCGCACAAGCACCGCACAGCTAGCCGATCCCCAAAGGGAGCGCTACAGAGAGGCGGAAATCACCGGCCGCTGAACTCTCGCGAGAGGGACCCCCACTTCCTATCTCCGCTTCTCCCTCCTCTTCCCCCCGCCCCTTTCCCTTCTCCCTCCCCCTCCCCCCTCCCGGGTCGGAGTGTCCCTGCGCCCCAAGGGCCGGAGCAGCAGCGAGAGCAGCTTTCCCCGCTCCCTCCCCCTCGCCTCACTCACCCCCACCCCCCCGCCGAGCGAAGAGGAGCCGGAGGAGAGGAAGATGGCGGCGGCCGCCAGCACCCGCGGTGCCGCGGGGCCGCTCCGAGGAGCCTGAGAAACCCACAGAGGCTTCGCGGGAAGACGCGGCGGCGGAGGATGAGCCTGCAGAGCGCGCAGTATCTCCGGTGAGTGCCGAGGCCGGCCCCATACGTAGGGGGAGCAGGCCGAGGGTTGGGGCATGGAGCAACAGACACAGAGATGGTATGTCCGGGGTGGCGGGGGAGTTGCCGTGTCCTCTGCTTCCCCGGCAGGGAGGCGGGGGCTGCGAGGGGATCCGCGGGAGGGGGCGGAGCGGGCACACACATGGGTACCTGGCCCCCGCGGGCCAGGCTGAGTTCCAGCGAAGCCGGCTCATCTCGGCGCGGGGAAGGAGGTTAAGGAAGTGTGAGGTGTGTGCGCGCGCGCCCGGGGTCGCGGGCTCGCTGGCGAGGGGTGGGGGAGGCGCCCGGGGAGGCGGCGGCGACCCCGAGTGGAGGTGGGTGTGGAGTCTCATCCCGGTGGCGGGGGAAAACGTGGTTGGTGTGGGATTGGTTGGAGCGATGCACGAAGAGAAGACGCGGTGGAAGCCAGCACACCTGGGGGGTGTGGGTGGCCGGCGAGGGAGGAGGGGGAGACTGCAGGAAGCTGGAGTTTGTTCTTCATTCTCGGGGTGGAAGTGCTGAGGAATAATGTCATCTGTAGTTGGTTGGTGGCGTGGGAGTGGGGGCATAAAGAGGGGGAATGGATGAGGAAGTGAGGAAAGAGGGAGGTACTGTGGACGGGGTTGGGTTCCCCAGAAGAAACTGGGTTAGAATCAGTGTAGTCGGAAGACATCATTCTGAGAGTCGTGCATTCTTTAAGAGTGGTGTAAGGAACTTGTATGTCCGAGGTAGAGTGACTCATTGGTACAGAGTGTGTGTGAGTAGGTGATATGTGTCTGGGGTGAGGTGAGGGGGGCGATTGATACCCATTTTAGGAGGGGGAAGATGCAGACACATTGGAACCAAGTACCTGATCGCAGAGCATAATGAATGGAAAGATCAGCTGTTGTGCAGCCAGAAAGGTTCCATGGAAGCAGAATGTGAGCTTGGAAGTAGAGGTAAATGAGGGTCAAAGTCTTGATGGCAGAGAAAAGGTGGTTAGAGCCTGAAGTTAATTGGGGATTTGTTACTGCTTAGAAAACGGGAAGGAAGACCTTAAAATGGGTCCTTTTTGTCTTTCAGGAGCAGAACTAAGAAAGGCGGGCTTATGGGAAGATATTTAAAAAAGTAATTTCATACCTTGTGAAAGAGGGATTTGAATGGAGTAGAAGTCTGAAATGAGCAGAAAAGTCACTTTAGCTGTTTAGTGAAGTGAAAGTCTTGATGTGTGAGCAGATCCCTATATGTATATTGCAAGAGAAGGTATGTAGTAAGTGAAACATGAGGGTAGTTATTCTACTTATGGAAGTAATAGTTTTATTAAGCATAGTGTGGAGAGGAGAGAATAATGAGATCTTTGAATTATGGTTGATTGCCTCAGTTTAACAGGGACAGGATCCACACAAAATGTGTGCTCAGTGACTATAAGGTAGTTGGAATGATATCAAGGTACTTTTTTTTCTCTATTATCCTTTTATTGTTTAACATATCAGATAAACTTAAGTGCAACTGTGGCAAAGATCTGTGGTAGATGCTGTAGAGGGAGGATATGGAAACCATTAGGACACTCCTTAATTTTAAAGAATTTGCAGTTTAGTGTATATTAGGTAAATAAATTAATAACAGCACAGAGTAGAGTAAGGTAAGTATCATAAAAGATGCCAAATGTTTTAAGAGTCCAAAGGCAGGAGATTACCTGAGCAATTGGGGGGAATCAGGAAGAGCTTCCTTTGTTCATTGCTCATTCAAACGCTTATGATTCATCAGTCATTTTGTTGATCACCAATATGAGAGGCATTGTACCAACTGCTGAGAATAGAAAATTAAGAACTCCACCTTCCTCTTAGAGAGTTTACAGTTTATTAGGCTTCAAGGAGAAAATGGCACTTAAAATGGACCTTAAGGATAAACAATATCCTGACAGGTGTGGATTGGGAAGAGGGGAATTCAAATGGAAGGATACTGAGCAGAGAAATGTGGATAGGGAGGTCCGGAGTCAGGTGAGGTGTTCAGTCCAGTTAAACAAGAATATCTGGTGATGCAGCTGGAAAAACTTAGGTTTTTCATAGGTTGTTAAGTTTGACCCCTTCCTTTTACAGATGAGGAAAGTATAGCCCAAAGAAGTTAAAATTTTTGAGGATCATATACCTGGTATGTGGAAGCTCTGTAACTCAAAATGTAGATTTTCTAACTCCAGATTATCTGTGCTCTGTGCAACATATCTGGGTTCATCCATTCTTTCCACAAATATATATTGAGAGCTTACTATGTATTCTAGGTACTGAGGATACAGTGGTGAACAAAAGAGTGAACATGGAAAGATATGTTCTAGTAGAAAGATGCAGTCAATAAACATATATGTTTATCAGGTGGTAACAGGTACTAGGAAGGAAAATAAAGCAAGATAGGACTATGCTGTTTTATATGGACAGAGTGATCAGGGAAAGCCGATTTGATAAGGTGCCTGTATTTGAGAGGTTCTTGAATATCATGAAGTGGCCAGTAGAGAATCTGAGATGACTTGTTTAGAAGGAACTTCACATGTTCATAGCTATGTATTAGGAAGATGAATCTGTAGTATAATGGTGGGCAGTTAGGGCCAGAAATAAGGTGGTGGCAATGGTACTAGAAAAGTATGATGAAAAGCAGATTGAGAGAGTGGTGGTAATTTTAATGGGAAGATCAGTTGGCTTTGAGAGGCTTCTGTTTTACTGTATCTTATATTTTGTAAATCAACATGGTAGGCAAGACTTATCCTTAGGTTGTGGAGTCAGTGGTAGACGGCTCAGGATGAGTTTAGTTCTCTCAAGAAGGGGGAAAAGAATAAGAGTGAACAAAATGTTTAAATAACCTGTATTTTCCAGCTAAAGTTGAACAGGCAAAATCGAACAGGCATAGGACCTGGAATCCCTTAAAGATTCCTGAACGCCAGACTTTTCTCAGTCTTGCACATCTGTCCTAAGTAAATAAAGCAAGTCTTAGGGCTAATAGTAGTCTGAGACTGAGGTGGAGAGGTAATAAAGAAAGGCTTGACCAGCCCAAAGTTCCCTTTTCCTCTTCTTAAGATAATCATTCCATTTAAAGTCTGCTGTGGAGAGACTGGAGAATGTCTTCAGGGAAGCCTTATGTTCACATTCTTTTTCTTGATGAAAATGGAACCGTGGGTTTTTATAGACAATTCAAGGAGGATGCTGGGTATTGCTGAATGAGTGTGGTTGAGAGTTGGGTAGGCATTCTTTGTGACCTTGACTTCGGGAAGAGCTTTGTTGCCTACCTTTGTCGGTGGTGTAAGACCATGACTGGGCAGTTTTGAAGCTGCATAGTTGTAGATCTTCCCTCATGTAGGTGAAAATTAGTTTTGTCTCAGCCAGATAAATTTGTTAGAGTAGGTGAGCTAGGGTGTCTGGCATTGAAATGGTGGGGTGGTGGCAAACCAGGTAGCAACATGGCAGTTTGAAGAGAGTAAGAAATGAGGATATGAGGTAAGAAACATCAGTAAAGCGAAGAAAGAGGGAATTTGACATCAAGGGAGTGAAATTAGTCTTGAGTTGTAGAAATAGAGCAGAGATGAAAGAAAAGAAAACCTATCCTTTGTATGGGAAAAAAGGTGATATTCTGGGCAAGAAAAGATGATGAAATTTTTTTGGTTAGAAAGGAAGTGTCATTTTTTTGAAATAGCAGACTGACAAGACATATCCAAATGAATAAGTTAAGAATATCTTCTTACATTTTATAAGAAGAAATAGTCTTAAATAGGGGGTTTCAAGACTGAATAATTAGAAATTTATTACTCAAATTGAAGGAAAAATCAGTATTTTCTCTTTTGATTCATGACAAACTCGAAAGTTTTTCTTTTTTTGAGGAAGCTTAGCCCTGAGCTAACATCTGCTGCCAATCCTCCTCTTTTTGCTGAGGAAAACTGGCCCTGAGCTAACACCTGTGCCCATCTTCGTCTACTTTATATGTGGGATGCCTGTCACAGCATGGCTTGACAAGGAGTGCCATGTCCGCACCCAGGATCTGAACTGGCGAACCCTGGGCCGCCAAAGCAGAATGTGCGAACTTAACTGCTGTGCCACTGTGCTGGCCAAAATGGAAAGATTTTTAGAGACTTTTTGACACCTCTGTTGATTAAAAGAAAAGGGTGTGTTGAATATAGTTCATTTGATAATGCTAGGAGAAGGGTGAGGAAAGGCCATCAATGAAATAGTAGGTGAGGTATAATATCATACTTTAAAAGAACAGCATTTGAAAGAACAGAAATATGGAAATTAACATATCAAAGTTGGGAAAGCAAGAGTGGGGAAAGTATTGGAGTACCAGAGAGGGTAGACATCATCAAAGTTGTTTTGGAAGATGAGAAAGTAGAATCATCATAGCCATTGGGAATACCAAACAGGTCAAAGCTGGTTATAAAAGGTGACACAGGTGCCACTGAATGACATCTGCTGCTGTTGTGGGAGGCAGCTGTTCATACTTTGTACTTCCTCCAACTTTCCTCTTTTCCTTCCTTCACTGTTCTCTCTTTTGTCTTTAGTTTTTTCTATGCTGTAGGTTTTTCAGAGAGGTCCCCTTGAAGTTGATCCCTACTGTTAGACCCCTTTACAGGAAAGGTTTACAAATTGCCCGTTTTGTTAGAATTTTTTTGGGGGATACCTCTGTTAGTGAAGAAGCTGCATTCCAGTGGTAGCTTCTTTGTCAGAAACTTTGTTACCAGAGATAGAAATAATATAACAGCCATAAGGTTGTTTTCAGAGGCAGCAGAAAAAAGGTGGTCATTTATATACTAATTAAAATATCCGGTGTGTTGTAGGATAAAATCTGTCACTATAAATCTTGAGACAGAGGGAGATAAGGGGAGGGGATGAGGCTGGATAAAGTAGCAAGCAGGACCTTATCCTAGCCTGGGGAGAGGAACCGGGAAGTTGGTGGGAACATTTGGGAGGAATGTGTGTACTAAATAGTGTGGGCTCCAGTTTCTGGAAGAATCTGGTAATGCTGGGCTG